ATATAGGGAATCAGGCAAACGTGCCGTACTGTGATTGGGTCCCGCCAGAATGCGAACACGGGGAGCCACGGGATAGGCTGAGGACATAAGGCCAATTACCATACTCGTGCATCATAGCCAAATATGGAGTTGTTTACAGCTAGGCTACCAGGAAGCCAGCGCCATCTTAGAATGGCGGCTCCCTACAAAAAAGCACTGAGACTCTTTTTATTTTCTAGATTACCCATGGATTTATTGCTATTATTGCTAATTATTATTCTTGATCTTCCCAGTAGTCTTCCAATTTTCAACTATCCCAGGGTATACCATTTCTGTTAAATTTTGTCTTAGGAAATTCTTTCTTGGGTTCCCCTCTACCATCCTACCTGCATGTGGAATTGTTGCTTTCTGGGTCTGGCACTCGTCTCTGTCCTTTCTCAACTTTGGGATTATTTGAGCCTTTCTCCTAAATTAGATTCATATTTCCTGGATCACCTGTCCTCTCTGCTTTGTTTTTGGAGACAGTCTTAATCTGTAGCCCAGGATGATATTGAACTTATGATTTTTCCACTTCAGCCACCCACTGTTGAAAATTCTAAGCATGGTATCACCATCTAGGCTCCTCCTCTTTGTTATAAAGAAGCCTGTCTTGTAGCAGTATTCTGAAAGGGGAATGTTACGTGACTTTGCAGTCCTGAGAAGCAATCCACACAGTTGACTATTGATAAGACACATCTTAGAATTCTAAATTGGTGATCATTTTCTGACATAATTTCAAAGAAATTGCTCCATTATCGCTTGTTAAGAAGCCTGTTCCTTTTGTGAAGTTTCAAGAATCTTTTCATTATTTATAGGATATAACATTTTTATTATCATGTGTCTTAGAATGAAACTATTTAATCCAGAGGTACATTTCTCTCAGCTCTGTAAACAATTCTTTCACTATTTCCTTGATAATGCCCTTCCCTCAGTTTGTATGTGGCCTTTCTAAAATTAATGGCCATCAGATGGTGCACCCTCTATACTGATCTTGAAATGTTCTAATCTCCTGTGATCTCATCCCATATCTTTCTTTAAAAAATGCTACTTCAAAGAAATTTCCTCATCTTTATCTCTCCATGCTCCTTTTGAATTTTAAATTTTACCTGGCATATTTTTTAATTTCCATTTTTTTTTGTTTTCTCATTGTTCACTGTTGCTATAGCATCTCCATTCAAAGCAATTCTTGTTTCAATGATACAGTGTCTTTTCTCTTTGATGATATTAGTCATAATTAGAACTTCTCTTCTGTTCACTGTAATGTCTCTACTCTTCTCCAAATTCTTTTTATCTGTTGTTTTGTTCTCTTCGTGTCTTTCAAGTTGGATATTTTCTACAAACGGCAGAGCATGTGTATGACTAAAGTCCTTCAATGTGTAGGGCAAGCTCTACGTAAGTGAGGAAGTTTTGACATCTGCTTGTTGTTTGGCTTTACTGAAGTGGGATCAAACCAAGGCCAGTTCTCCATCAGAGAACAGTCAAATGTCAGCATTTGTCTTTTCTGCAAAACTGTTGAGCTTTTCCTCAAAAGGTCTCCAGCTTCCCTGGAAGGTACCAATCTAGTTACATGTTTTGTAAAACTGAAAAGAAATCAGCAAACTTTCACTTCGGAATCTGTTCTCAGTGTGCGTTAGCCCCATTCTCCATGACCTCAATGGCCTCAAACCCATAAACGTTCTGTACAGTTCTTTCACAGAGTAATCGGAGACCGAAGGCCAAGTTCTTTTATCAAAAGCATTAGAAAATAGCTGTCAGACCATAAATGGTGCATATTTCTGCTTCATCGAGGCATTTAGAAAGTAAAATGACATAAAAAGAAACTATACCCCAGTTTTATATCAGGAATTTTAAATGAAAAAGATTGCTGGGCAGTGATGGCACACACATTTAATCCCAGCACTGGGGAGGCAAAGACTGGTGGATCTCTGTGAGTTTGAGACCAGCCTGGTCTACAGAGTGAGTTCCAGGACAGCCCGGGCAGTTACACAGAGAAACCCTGTATCCAAAAAAGAAAAATAAAAGGTTAAGTGTATTAACTCTCTCCTTTCAAATATAAGTCCAGTTAGTATGTGGTCGTGTCAACTCCTTCTGCTACTCTCTCAATATGAGGGATAACAAAGAAGTCTGGATTTTGAGGAGGTCTTGAGGACATGGGTAGGTAAAGATGAAAGAAGTTCAATATCTTCCATGTTGTTGTTTACTTAGTGAAATTCTAATTTGTTGCTCTCTCATTTCAACGAATAAAGAGTCTTGTTTGTATCAAGTAAGTGTAGGATGCAGGTAGATAAATATATTAGTAACTTTAAGTGGCAAAATATCTAACAGAAGAATCTTAAAGGAGGAATGCTCTAGTTCCCTGGATTCACAAGGCTGTGGTCCACGGCAGTGAGCAAGCCATGGCAGCATTCAGGTACTGGGAATGTTCTGGGGCAACTTGTTCACGTGGCAGTAGGTGGGTAGATGGGGAGCAGAGAAAAGAGGTCAAATCCAGGAACAGGTACAATCTTCATTGACCCCACCTGAGTGACCACTTCTGCCAGATAATCCTCATCTCATTCAATCTCCACACATTCAAACCAGTGCCATACACTACAAACCAATCATTTAAAAACACAAGCCTAGAAGGGACGTTTCAGATTCGAACAATAACCACAAGGATAGTGAACACCCAGCCTTTGAAGTCATAACTTACAAAACAGCTGGAAGTATGCCACCAAATAACTTTGATACGTGGGAGAATATGACTAAAACCTGTGAGAAGTTTGAAGGAAGGGCTTTGAAAGCGCAGGAAAAAAGTAATCATCGTTCAGCTAGGAAGCACAGAGGGGAGGGGCCTAGCAAAAACCATGGGGCTGAAGGAGAAGTAAATGGCTGGGGAAGGGGACAAAATTGTGTGTGTCATTAAGAAAACACAGTGGGATCAGTAGCAGCCCCTCCCTAAAAACAAATATAGCTCACATTCCTGAATTCCTTTCTAAATAACTGCCATTTTCTTCCCCGTTCTCTAAGGAAAAGTAAGAGTTACATTTGAAAGGATGGAGATTCAAATTCTAAATTCACCACTAACTAGCTGCATAATGCTGGTTAACTTACCTGCTCCAATTTATCTTTTCTCTCTCTAATATTAATATATCAAAGTGCTCATTTAAGGTTATGGCAAATGAATTAATAAAGGGAACAGTATGGAATAACAGATATCTCTTATTAAAGCCAAAAAAAAAAAAAAAAAAAAAGTCAAGAGCCAAGCTGCTTGTACCATCTTTACATTTACAGGCCTAGCATTTGGGGTATAGCACCAGCCTTGTCTGGTGAATTCCCCAGAAACTCACCTACCAGCACCATCCCCACACTACCAGGCCTAGCTCCAGTCACATACATCCTGAAACAGCGCTTTCCAGTGAGTCCCTGAAAACCAAACTTACCCACACCATTTCCATACTTCCAGGCCTAGCTACAGATGCACAGTTCCTGTGCCCACATAGTCTGAGGCATGCCAGAATCTCACATCAGACACATAACCAACGAAAGAAGTCCACATGCCTAGGTCACATAGAGAAAACACAAGCAATTTGAAGGACCAAGACAACATGTTCTCCCCCCAAATCCATCAGCCTTATAGAAATGTTCTCCAATGGCAATGACTTCAGTGAACCCCAGGACACAGAATTCAAAAGTACAACTATGAATTTGATCTAAGATTTCAAAGCATTTAAAGAAGACAGGAACAAAGAACTCAATGAACTGAGAGAGGATAGTTAGCAATAAATGCCTTAGGGATGCCCAAGGAAACACAAATATGTTTGTGGAATAGACAAAATGAAGGCAGTCCAGGGTTTGGAACTGAATTCAGTAAAGGTATAGATATATTGAAGAGCAGATATTTATCATAAACATGTATAGATATTATACACACTTATGTATATGTGTATAATAATAATAATTAAAGAAGAGATTATGAATTTGAGAAGAAGTAGGAAGCACAGGAGCTGGAAGGAGGAATAGGATGGGTGGAAATGATGTAAATAGAGTACTCACTTATTAATTCTAAAAAATGAAGCAAAAGAAAAAGCCCAAAAAGTCAAGATTAGGAATAAGGAAATCAAACTCTGGATTAGGTATCTTACTTGCAAGCATTGTGACCTACATAAATTGCTTATTCTTTCAGGATCCCAGTTTCCCTATCTGTAAATCTATGAGTTGACCCATTTAATCTTTATTTCTTCTAAACTAATAGTTTAGGGGCCATAGATGACATTTTATTTGACTTTGATACTGAGCCATACAATTCTACTAAATTGGATCAAATTGCCATTATCGAGCCTCTAATACATGGAGATTTTATTAAAGGACTGAAAATGAAAGTGATAATAATGCATTAATCCCTGGGAGTGATTCCTAATGGACAGAAAAGGCAGTGGTACACCGGGTCCTATTATCATGTCTGGATGCAAGAGAAAGAAGATAGCAACTGGTATTAAATCAAGTACCAATCTCAGAGGCCTATCATTTTACTTTTTAAAAATTGGAAATATTTCACCCTAATTTCAGTATTGGTTATACTGGCAGTTTATCATCGAAATTTACCAATAAAATAAAAATCATGTCTAACTAACTGATATTTGTTATGAAGATAAAAGGATATATCAATAATGCTTTTAAAATACACAATAGTTGTACTTACTTCAAAGGAGAAGGAATAAATTTTTGATAAGCCACATGGAGATGTGTGACAGAAGTGAAGTAGATATTAAGCCTGTTCTTATTGTATATTCAGGTTAGCTGTAGGATAGGAAAGAGGTAGATATTACAATCCAAGAAACACATTTCATCCCCATTGTATATGTTTCTTGAATTATGATTCTCCTTTAAAATTTTATCCTTGTTTCTACAAAATGTACAAAAAGCTGTTGGTGGCATTTGGAAATGCATAAAGAAGATAAAATAATCTATTTTATGTATCTTTAAGATTCTGCTGCAGTATTGATAACAAATGTATTACATGTATACATCTGATATGATACTGTCCATAGTCTATGCTCTCCTAAGAAAAAAGGAGACTATGAAATCTTCTGTTCATGAATACAGATGAATCTAAGGTATCTGCATAATGTCTAAAATAATATGTGGCTGATCAGAAAGTTTGTGTACAAGGGTTAGGGTCCATGTCCTCAATAACTGATTAATCAAATTTCTCTCTGAATTTTCTTTTTGATTATAATTTTAATTGTGAATTATTAATATAGAGTGCTAATTGAATACATATATACAATACGGAATGATACAATCAGGTGTCTTTGATTTTTTTTCAAATCTCCAATCAGTGCAATACTTTATAGTTCAGAACTAAAAGAAATAAAATAAAGTGTGATTATTTAAAAGCAGATACTCAAAATTTGGATTGTTAGTATTATTGTGCTTTTTATGATTAATTAAGGTATCTTGTGTTTTATAATTATAAATTTATAACACACAAGTGTTTCAATTTTATGAAATTGTATGTTCTTTGCATTACATATATTGATAAACTTAAAATTGGTTAGGTACTTACCATCCTACTAGTGTGCTTGATTATTTACTTTTATAATAAAGTAAAAGAATGCCCTTTCACTTTAGGTTAGTACTTCAAAAAAATATGACTTTAGTGATATTATTCTGCAGTTTTTTATTCTTTTACTGTGGAAATATATTGCAAACTACTGTTTTATCTTCATTATATCATGCTTTCCTAAAATGTACCTTAAATTTGATCGCTAAATGATCAAATAAATACATCAGAGATTTGCCAGCCGGTTTCGCTTTGTATAAGAAGTCACAGATGTACTTTCAGCTTTCAGTGGGTAACAGTGAAATTGGGTGGATATTCGTGGGAGTTTGGAATGACCCTAACAGATTCACACTTTTCTGGGGTTGCTTTGTTAGTCCCCTTCCACTCACAGTCTGAGTTTACCTGTTGTATTTGCTTTGGCCAACAAAAGACCGGCAAGCAAACAGAAAGAACGCGTGGATGTTAGTACTTACCCTCTTATGCTTCACATGTTAGCTCTACATAAATAAGCTCCAGCAGTGGCAGAAAAATCCCAGACAAGATTTGCAGAGCCTTGCCAGATCAGCACAACAGCCCATCTGACCTGTAAATTTAAGAGTAGTAAAGAATGGTGTGCTTTTACAGCACTGTTAAAGATTGATTTGTTACATAACAAGGAATGAATGATACAATAGGTACAGGAAGTACATAGGGCAAGACTATCTTTTTACAGAATATTAATATCTTTATATCATACATCTGTTGTTATAGTAAAGTCTGTTGCAGCTGACTTTTTAGTGTAGGAGACAATCTTGGATATTACCCTCTTTCTCTCGTTAGCTTTATAGATATTCTGAGTATCTATCAAATCAATAGATAACAATTAAGTGTCATGTGAGTGGCAGGAATAACACCAGATACTTAGAGTGAAACTTGACTGCTGGATGTTTATGGGGGTGATGATAAGCTGCTGACATACTTGCTATGAAAGATTCTATTGTCAACAACACTGATTCCCAAAGTTAATTCCATTTATACGTGTCATTATATATAGTCATGATTTCCTCTTTTCTCACAAATAGAGATTTGTTCTATTCCTCTTTGCATTTCCCCTTTATGTGGGAAAAACATATAATTACCCCTATTCATGTGACTTACACATCTTCCTATTGTGTAGCATAATGTATTACCCGTATTGACACTGGGCTTGGCCATGTTGCTTGTTTTAGCCATTGAGACGGAAATATGATCCATGCTGAGACTTTAAAAATGCTTATGAAAAGGGGCTAGCCCTCATGCTGCTCTTGGAATCCCGTGACAGCCACCATGTGAACAAGTCATGGGTAGCCCCTTGAAGAGTAGGGATATTGGTTTCTGGGATCTGGCTACCAGCGATCACTCAGAAGAGCAACTGTCTAGCTGTCAAAGTCCCAGTCAAAGACACATAAAGGTCCAGTCAAGCCTACGACAAATTGTTATTTCATAGAATCATTAACTAAAGTTGTTTAATGTTTTTTTACATTTTATCTATTTGGTCTGTGTGCATGTAAATGCACACGTGTGTGTGAGTGCCCATGTTTGTGTAGCAATATGTGTGTGGAGGGAGGTCAGAGGAAAACTTGGAGGAGTCAGTTCTCTCCTTCCACTATGGGTTTACCAAAGATCAAAGTCACGTTGTTTCCGGATTGTGGCAAGTACCTTTACCTACTGAGCCAGCTCATAGTCCCATAGTTGATATTTTAAGCTGTGAAGTTTTGGCGTGGTTTGTTAGGCTCTCAAAGTTGTTTAATGTGTCATTCCTTTGAAGTTAGCATGATCACATGCTTTTGTTGAAATGTTACTTTGGTCAGAAGCTTCTGAGAGCCAGGACATGATTTTTCTGTCATCTCCATCTTGTCATGGTGGCTGATGAGACTTGAATGGACATGGAACAATTCTTCTATCTTCCCACTCTGAAGTATGGAGATTACATAGTGAAAAACAAAGTTCTGTACTGTACCACTTATTTTGAATTTGTTACTGAGACATGGTCTAGCTCTGTTCTACACATAACCCTTATTCTGGCCCCGAACGATAGGATTAATTACAAACATCCACTACCACACATGGCTTCAAAGTTCACATTCAAAAGGTTTGGATGAAGATTTAATGCTACATTTTTACCAGTGAGGGAACGCTGAGCAAAAACCACTCTCTCATAAAAAGAAGCAAGAATGATAGATAAGAATATGCCACCAAAATAGAGGGTACTACAGAACTGAGAATTTATGAGTTCCCAAGGATTAAAATGTATTTCTCTGCACAGCTGAGCATAAATGCCGGGAAACATACAGTATTTCTCTGTAAACTGTGGATGGCTCACCAGCTTTTAGTTCCCGGTGACTATACAAAAATAAATGTAGAATGGCTCTAGTGCAAAAGAGAAAAAAAAAAAAGTAATTTTAAGTATATACTTAATCAAAAGAGTCTCCTCTCTCCAAGGAAATTTTCTCTAGAACAGCGCAGGATCCATCCTTAACAATTACAAAGTGCCAAATCCCATGCCACGCACTGTATTAAGGTTAGGCAGGAGAAAAAAAAAAAAAGATGTCTAGGCACCAAAGTCTCAGTGAGTCATAATCCTCCAAGAGTTTATGTTTTGGGAATATGTAAATTTTCCCTCCTGGAGTTCTTAGCCAGCTATACCCATTATTTATCGTGGAAAGTCCCTTTATCGTTTCCTCGATCTTTGCAGATATTCTCACTTTTTTCCCCTCTTCGCTTCATAAACCGATGTCCCTGAACATCCTTCCCTGAATACAGAGGACTGGCTTGCCCTTTCCCTGAGGAGTGAAGATAGATGACAATGACCCTGAAAAGTTTCTAGCACTTACAGAGCAGCTTGGCCGCTCAAGACACAGCCAACGCTTTGAGGTTTCCCACCGAACTCCCCAGGCAGAACCTGAGGAAGCCAAACATAGGCCGGGGCAAGGCATTTGGGTGGAAGGAGTAAGAGGCTGACCCCACCACAAGCCGAGCTTTTCAAGCCCAGGGCCAGGCTGCCAGCTGGGGAGTGCGAACCCGATCAGAGAGCGCTTCGACGCGAATGGACTACAAAGCCCAGAGTGCACAGCATCGCGCCTGGGAGCTCCGCTTCGGGACCCTCGCGCAATGGAGGCTGGGAAATGAAGTCTGCGGGCTTCCAGAGCCCCACGCGAAGGCAGAAGGGGAGGCGTTGCTAGTCCGCTCCTCCAGCACGCGGGTTCCTGGCTGGCCTCGGGGTTTCTCGCTCCCGCTCAGGGTTTTCGCGGACGGCGGGAGCAGAATGGCTTGCCTGAGTAAACTCCGGGGGGAGGAGGGGAAGGGAGTGGATAAGGAGGCGGGGTCAGCGGAAGCGGCAGGTTGCTTCCTTCTCTCCGCGCTCCCTCCCCGCCTCTCCCCGAGGGAAGCGGTGGGAGGGGGGAGGGGAGGGCCGAGGGAAGGTAGTGACACGTGTCAATCAACAACCACCAACCAACCCCCCCCCCTCCGGGGGGCGCGCGCTCCGGGGCTCGCGCCGAGGGCTCGCGCCCCTGCCTCCTCGTGCCTGCGCCGCTCGTATGTAAATGAGGGCGCGTGACGCGGGACGCAGATGGACAAGGGAAGAGAGAGAATGGCCGCTGCCGCCGCTGCTGCCGCCGCCGCCGCCGCCGCTGCCGCTCAGTGCCGGAGCCCTCGGTGCGCGGCGGAGAGGAGAGGATTCCGGCGGGAACTCGACTCTTGGCGCCACCGCCTCATGCACTGTGTAGGTAAGAGAGACACGGGCCGGGCCGGGCTCCGCGCCGCTCTGCGGCTGCCCGAGGAGTTTGTGGCTGAGGGGTGTAGTTGGAGCTCCGGTCCGGGTCAGTTCAATGGGGAGCGATGGGAGCGGCGGCGGCGGCGGCCCCGGCGGCGCCTTTTGTCTCGGGGCTCCCTGGCCCGGCGCGATCCGCGCCCGGCTGCCCGCCCGCCCGCCCGCCTGCCAACCTGCCCGGCTCCGGGCTCCCGAGGAACTGTTAGTTCGGACCCACTCTCCGTGCTCCCCGCGGAAGCAGCCCGCCCGCTCGCCAGCTCGCGCTGCCCCGAAACTCCGCGCTGCCCGTCGCCACCCGCCGGTCCCCCCTCTGTCACCGCGGCTCGGAGCCGGGGCGGAGGGGACCCCGAGGCGGCGGGTCGGTCCGCGCCCCCGCCGGACGCTCACACACCCCCTTCTTGCCGCCGCCGGTGTGGGGGGGGCTGGCCGAGCAGACGCTGCCCGAGTTCCCAGGACGCCCGGACCTGGGGCTGCAGGGGCGCTCGCGGGGCGGGGGCGGCCAAGGGCCGAGGGTCGATGGGGGCGGCGCCCGAGGGGCGGGGGGGGGCGGCCGCCTCTGCCCTCTCGCGCGCGGCCTCGGATCTGTGTGTACCCCTTTAAGAAGGAGCCGCTCGAGCGCTGACGGTTGGGATTTGAAGTTCTTCCTCCCTCTTTGGAAGTCTGGACGGATGGGGGGTGTTGCTATGACGACGGCACCCTCCCCATGCCGGCTCTCCCCCACCCCCCCTACCCCTTTTCCTTGAGGACGCCCCGACGACTCTGGTCCTCTTTAGCTGTCATGTGATGGACGCGCATCGCCCTCCCCACCTCCCATTCCTGTTCAAATGCAATTCAGTTTTCCGATTCGGTGGGGTCTGACTGGTTTTCCTTCAAACTTCCGCGCTCCGGGCTGTCATTCAGTGTGCTGCTGCTCCGGGTAGCGGGAAGTACTGGGACTCCCTACCTTGTTGCGGTCTCCGCTTTTCCCCACCCCGAGTGAGACGTGTCCCCTCCGCTGTTAGCCAGCAGGTTGGTTCAGTGCAGTAGAGGGGCTAGCACGGGTTGAGGGGCCCGCAGAGTGCGTGCTGCGGCAGGGGTTACAGGGTAGCATTCCCGGGGAAGAGGTGGGAATGGAGCCTGGTCGGTGCTTGGAGTGGATGGTAGCCTCGGTTTTCTTTTCTGACGAGTAGGTGTCAGTATTTGGAGTTGAGTCGGTTCAGTTCCTTGGGAAGGCAACTCTCCTACCTTGTTTTCATCTATTCTTGCGCCACCTCGCGCCCTGTCCCCCTACCCCACCCCTCTCAGTTTTGTTTGGCTGGAGGCTTAAGGTCTGTCTTGTTTTCACAAGTGAAAAAGATCATAGTAGATTAAACCAGAGGCTATATCAGTGCCATACACAGAATAGGATGTATATAGGAAAACCGAAAGGAGGATGCACTGATTTAGGAACATTTTTGATGTTTATTTAAGCAGTTTACTCTTTCGTGCCACCTCTATAAAATGTATGTATTTGGTATGATCTGTGACAAAGTTATGAGGGGGCTATCTCAAAACAAAACAAAACAAAAACAAAACCTGATACTAAATGTGTTAGTGCTTGTACTTCATGAATTCGAAGTGGACCCGTTTTGACAGTTTCTTATGTGAAGATCTGTGCCGTTGAAAACCGGCCTGGAAATTGTCGAGTCCGTTCCCTTGGAGTCCACCAAATAGCACTGCTAGCATTGCGGTGCCGGCTCACAGGATTACTGTGCTGAGTTTTGATAAGGCACACAGTGATTTGAAGATGACCATGGCCGAGTTGTGTTCTACAGAATGTAAGGATGTTTTTCTCATCTTGTGCCTTTGAACTACATTTAAATACGGTTTTGAATCACAATAATATATGTACTTTTGAAAGTCAAATTTTAATTAAGTGAAACAAATTAACGGGAAGTGAAGCTAGATTTTGGAATATCTCATGTAATCTGTATTACATTTTCAATGTTATAGACAACTATATTGTATTGTACATGAAAATAATGTTTCCCTGGGCAGCAGCCATCTTTTGGGAATTGTCTCACACAGTCCCAGTTCTTTGTCCAGACCTACTAAGATCCATCTCATATATTGTTTTTGTCACTGTTATTTTTAAGTTACAAAACCCTTCTAAATAGAATATTGAGGTTTTTTGGTGTCATATTTAATTGTGGTGTGAATAGGTGTTAAAAGTCATTGTTTTAAGCTATGATGTGTACTTTGCAGAAAAACTTTTCCTGTTTCTTATATGTATGTGTGTGACATATATACAGTGTAGATGTATAAATGTATACCTTTCTGTGTGAATAGTTGGTGCTCTTATTGCTTGAAATACTTTTTTTTTTTTTTTTTTTTTTTTTATAAAACCTCTGGCTTCTGAGAAAGAAAATCATTTGGAAGTCTTGGTTTTCAAGAGAGTTGGAAATCATAAGCATCTTCAGGTTGTAGTTAATTAGTATTAAATCTCTAATGAAGTTTCTTGAAATCTCTCTTCTTTACTTAACTACTTAAATATGATTGATCTTTTGACATGTATATCTGAAAATTGTCGGAAGAAAGTTATCTTCACTGTCGTCAAATGATTATAGTAATTGAAAAGGGAAAATGTTTCTTTTCCTTATAATTCTGGGACTTATGTCTTTGCCTTAGATCTACTCCTCTGACTCATTCCTAGTTTTGTTTTAAATTACAGAAGTGTCCTTGCTTTGTCCCAACTGATGGCTCTGTTTATAAAGGGCTTTCTGTCGTTTGCCTCTACTAGAAGAGTATCCTCATGTAACAAATGCTTGAGTGCATATTGGGTGGGGGACTATAGTCCTAGTATACAGAATTATACTGAGCATTAATAGACACAGTCTCATATTTTATATAGTATGTCATTAGTATCTACTGACTAGAATGACACTGAGCTTTGAGTTCTTATGGAATAAATAATATGATTAGTATCTAACGATTCATATTATTAAAACAGTTTAGTATAAAATAAATGTATTAATACAGTAATACAGTTTCAAACATTCAGACTTGCAAAGTAATTAGAGTATTTTATCTGGGACAGTTTTCTAAAAACTTTATTTTGGTATAATTTGCATCTAAAAATATTAAAGGATAAGAAACTAATATTTACTCTTGCCTGTATTAACCAGTTATTTCACATTTTGTTGTATTTTTGTTGTTCTTGTCCTAAATTCATACACACACACACACACACACACACACACACACACACACACACACACACACGGGGGGGTTGGGGGAGTAAGAGTGAGTTAGAGTTCGAAATTTGAGAGTAATTTGGAGCCCCAAGTTCTTCAGTATTCCAAGAAACAAGGACACTGTCAACACATATTATTACTTACTTTATAGTTCATTTTCAGATTTTATCTGTTTTCTCTATCCATCTCCTGTCTGTCTCCTAGTTCAAAATCCACTTTAAGATCATGGAATGCATTTATTGGTTATCACGTTTCTAGTCCTTTTTAATTGGGGATACTTCTTCAGTTTTTTTAAAATTTTTTTTATTTCTTGACCTTGACATAAAACAACAACAAAGGACAGATGTCCCTTGGTCGGAATTTGTTGTTTTCTTGTGGTTAGTTTGTTGTGCATTTGGCAGGAATACTACTGAAGAAATGCTCTGTTCTTCCCAGTACATCATATCCTGAAGTTCATATGTTGGTGTGCCTCAGCCATAAAATTTGGTTCAGATTATGGGTGCTGTATTTTTTCCTGAAAATTATTCACCATTTTGTAATTAATGTGTAACTTATGGGAAAGTACTTTCAAGAACAGGGTATTGCCATCATCTCATCAAAATTTCAACTATTGCTTAACATTGTCAATATTCTGGCTTTGGCTTTGTTCCTGCTTTTTTTTGGGGGGGGGTGGTTTTTTGGTTTTTTATGTTCCTGCTTTTTAAGGGTTGATATTCATTCAGTTATACTTTGTATGATTTCATGGATTCTTATTCAAAAATAAAAACCTGTGACTGTCATTATATTGACTATCAAATTGTGGCATAGTTGACTAACTTAAAGCATCTGTGTTTGTGTTCGCTTGTGCTTCTAAACATGATAGTCCACATTCATGTATTTTATTGTCCCAGGTATGGTGTTAGTTATTTCATCAAAATGACCACCAATCTTTTTAAAGGAAAAATGACTTTAGATACCAAAACTAAGCATATTTTAGGTCTGTTTTAATCCCTGTTTTTTTCAAACATAATTTTTTCTTAAGATCACAAAATAAAACAAGGGAAAGATTGGCTTAGAAACATTCTATAAAACACTAGTGTCTTTTCTGTATAAGACTGGTTCAAGAGTAATTGAGCCAAATATGAAATGTTAAATCTGCTGATAACCATATTAAAACACATTTATTTAATCTATTACCTTTTTATTAAAAATAGTACCATTTTTTGTACTGATCTATGTAGAAACTGTTAAGGAGTTGGGTTACTATTCATGTCCTGGAATTGGGTGTTTTACATTTGTAGTACATCTCAATTTGAAGTATCTGTTTAACTGCAACACATAGCAATGGACCTCACTGGACAGTTTAGTTTTCTTGATTTCCGGGGTACCATTTACCTTAAAAAATCTCTCCATAATAAACAAAGGTACAGTTTTACCCAGATCTTTTATTTGATTAGTATAGGACAAACAGATCATTTAAAAAAAAAATAAGTTCTGGAGCTAGACTTTTTAGTTTGGAACCTAGTGGCACCATTTATCAATGGACAAGGTTCTCTTTTATCTCTCATTTGTTTCGCCAGTAATTTGGAGAGAGCTAGGTTGCTGGAGAAGAAGTTTGTTGATTTGTGATGTTATGTTTATTCTGTATAGAAAGCACCCAATAAGTGCTAGCTATTATTGGTGGTGATGGTTTTCTGCTTGGGCTTTATTGTTTTTGTCAATTGATTTTGGTAGGAATGCTGTTACGTATTTAAAAAAAGATTAT